GTGTGTGTGTGTGTGTGTGTGTGTGTGTGTGTGTGTGTGTGTGTGTGAACGTGCATGTGCGCGGGTGTAGGTGTGTGTGTGCCTGCGTTTGTGTGTGACAATATACATTCGCACGTTAGTAGTATAGGGTCTATTACATTGTTATTACCTGCAAATATTTTATTTTTTCTCAGTTGTTGCAATTGCGTCTAAAGCACGCCCTATTTTTTTTCGCTAACACGGGCCACTTGTAGGCTGGAATGAACTCCTGGGGTCGATATAGGCATCACTTGGAAACCAGTGACGTAAACCCTTTCCTTAGTTTTTGAATACTTGACCAATGATCAATCACCCACTGCCAAAGAATATATTACACCGCCAACATTCACATGACTTTGTGCGTCTATTTATAGCAATATTTATGTCGACATTATTTCTTATAACCGCTACTAAGCTGTTGTTTAAACGACCTCCAACTAGTTTTTTTCAACGCAATGGCGTGACATCTATGTAGATTGTTGTAATATGAACACTTTTTTTATATCCACGATCTTTATTTATTCTCATTACCGTATATTATAAGTAGCTTTTAAATAACAGTATGTACGAGGTGAAATGCCGATTTCCTACATAATCGAATCGTCTTTCTTATTTTTAGTAACTGACGCAAGAAAAGGGGAATTATATGTTTGAAAACTTCCAAACTGGGTCACTTGGGTACCCCTGTAAATTTAGCCAAAATTAGGACAACGGACATCTCGCTTTATGAATGTGGATTAGGCGTAGGACTTAACAGACCACATTTTTATCCATTACCTCAAGCGTCTTGTTTCTCTATATATAAAAACATTTCCCCGTTAATTTCCAAACCCGGAATTTGAAAACAAATTTAAATTATGTTAATATACCTTTTACCCTCGGACGCGAATAGAAATAAGTTTGAAGCCTTTGTTTATGTATTTGTGTGTCAGTCTGTTTGTGGCATAGTAGCTTCCAAACAAATGGAATGATCCCAAACTGATTTTTAGTAGACTGATTATAAGTAGCAGTAGAGCTCCTTGTGAAAGAGTTCGTCCAGGGCAGCACTGCCGCCAAGCAGTTATGTGGGCATTGCTGCTAGTTAAGGATAGGCGTGTCGCTTACCACCAGGAGCACTTGTCCGTGCTGTCACTTGGTAATATAAAAAAAAATCCAAGGTACTATCCAGAATATCCAGACTAAGTCAAATTTGAAAGAAAAATAAATTGGTTCTGCCAGGATTCGAATCCGGGATTTCGTCACCTAGCGACACTGGGCCACCAAAGTCGTCATTACGTTTATCATAGGCAATAATTAGTTCCATATGTTTTAGATTCATTTTGATTTATAAATTGCAAGCTTTTCTGCATTGTTACTATATTAATAGTTTTTTTGTTTTATTAAATCTCCGTAACTTTTTTTTTGCAGGAAACACAAGACCCTGGAGTTGGTAAGTAATAAAAAATACGTTTTTCTGTAAAACTGTATAAAATATAGCACATTTCCGCACTAATGCGATTATTTTATAATCACCGCTCTATTATGCCACTTTGCTATTTTTTTTTATTTCTACAGGTTCAATTGGAACTTTTGCTTATATAGTTATCTTACTAGTGTAGTAAAGTACCATTCATGCCATTACCAGTATAAAAAGGTAATAATGTACGATATAGGAAATAAAACTATTTTTCCGGATTTAAATCGCGTTTATTTGTTTTTACAAACACAACCTCAAAATTTTAGTTTGTTTGTAAAAACAAATATACGCGATTTAAATCCGGAAAAACAGTTTCATTTCCTATGTTTAACAATCGCCAAAACCTAAGTCGATCGCGAGAAACTCGATAATAATGTCACAAGGTTCATTCAATCTAGTGCCACCTCTCTACACTAAGCTACAAATCCAGTCAACACACCTTCCAATTTTCTCTAAGTTTTGGTTACTATGTTAAGTGCGTGCGTTATTATTATTATTAATGCCAAAAACCAGTAGAATACAGGTTGTATTATATTTCTAGCCATCTCTATGCCTTTATCCGTTGCCATTAGCAGGTCTTCGCAGGTACAGCTGGTTGGACACAGTGGGCATGAGAGCAAGTCGTACATACTTTGTGTGGGGGATCCGCAATCACAGTGAGCCGGATTGATATATTTGCCAACTTGTGATCTGAGATCATGACTCACGGAGCCGAGATGTGGAATATGACAATCAAACTGGCTCACAGACTACATGTCGCTCAGCGAGCTATGGAAAGGTCTAGGTATCTCGTTAAGTCCGGAACGAAGAAATAGAATAAGACTAAAGTTGTGGACATTGTCCAGAATTAAAGCAAGCTACAGTTGCAGTGGGCTGGCCACATCTGTCGCAGAACCGATGAGCGATAGAGTAGACGGGTTCTCGAGTGGAAACTAACTCGGCAAACGTAACGTAGGACGTCCCCCTGCAAGATGGACCGACGATGTGAAGAAGGTCGCGGGTAGTGGTAGGATGTGGAAAACGGGTGATAGGGCACAATGGCGTACACTTGGGGAGGCTTATGTCCAGCAGTGGACTGCAAAAGACTGATTGATGATCTGAGACGATTCAGAGTTTTCCATACTGACCTTTGCAACTCGTGCCCAGGGGAAAACTTTCGGCTGGGGTAATAAAATCTTGAGGAGCAGCGAATTTGGCTTGTCACAGTTTATACCCCAACTAACTACAACTTTCAACTAATTAACTGCAACCGAGACGTCCAAGGCCTTACAGATATCGTTTTAGTGTACTAAACATTGACTTACAATTATATGGACGTCGGGTCCGCGCTAAAAAGTGTCCGAACTTATAGGGCGTTAAAATCGTATACAGAGCGTCATTCACGCTCTAGTCTTCGTTTGTTCGACTGACAGCGAAGCAAGCAAAATTAGACAGTACTGCGATGACATTACAATTTAAATTCAACGTTTTAGCTTTTTCATATTCCTTGACATGTCACTACGTTTAAATAGGTTGACTTGGGACATTTTTTTCGTGGTTTTTGTATTAGACCCGTCGTCCATTTATTTGTAAGTCAATGGTACTAAAGTATCATTTATATGGTATCGGTATAAAAATGTAATAGTTTAAAGGACCACGACCGAGTATTAAAAAACTGACCTCAAAAGATCGTGGAATTACATCCATTTGTCAAGTTTTATTGAAGTCGGTTACAGGAAAATCGCGAAACTGGATTCATGCCCTAGTTTACCACCCTTAGATGTGGAATTTTTTCTATCCAACAAAAAAAAATAATTCACAAAACGGTTCACAAATGCCAAAAAAACATACAGTCGAATTGATAACCTCCTCCTTTTTAAAATCGGTAAATATAAATGACCACTGTGTCAAGGAGGTTAATTATCAATCCAAAAATCGGACATAAAGAAAATTCCTTCGATGTGACAGGATTAAAACCTGCATATGAATTGCGAAACTAGGACCACCTCTCCACCAACTGAACTACAAATCAAGTCAGCATGCCTTACGAATTTCTCTAAGGGTCGTATTCTAGAACTCTACTCAATACTCAAGTCAGGACTTGAGTATTGCAGTGAAGACTGAAAATCATACTCAAGTCCATTAGGATCGTATTTCCAGTGCTTGAAATCATAATCAAGTCTGCTCAAATCCTGACTTGAGCATTGAGTAGAGTTCTGGAATACGACCCTGAGTGTTTGTAACAAATCTTTTTTGTTGAGTTTTGTGTAGAGTTTTCGGTTTTTGAGTTTTGAGCAACACCTGTCAAAGATCCTTTGTGTTAATAATAATGGAGTAATTTTACAAAAATTGGTGGTAAAACATGATATTCAATAAAATGAGGTTACTATTATTCATTCCTCATAATTTTACTCGACAATATTTTCTTTTCCTGCGACATAATAATGTTGTATAAATATTTGATTCAAAATACATTTTCTCATTCCATCAATGTAATAAATTAAATGTCAACATCAAGAAATCCACCAATTAGGTGCCGTCAGCTATCTGATTGGTTCGTTTCGCTGAAATTGCCATTTTTGTGATTAGATTGACGAATTCAAAAAGAAAACGCTGATATAATAAGTACAAAATCTCTACGTAATGAATTTACATGTTGAATGTAATAAGGTTGTCACAGATTGTTATTTTTCATCACACTTGCACGTAAATGGTATGATTGCATGCAGGCCAACTTGGCTAAGAACTCCAAATAAAACCCTCGGACCTTTTTTCTTCACGTTACCGACCATATCTGTAATGAGTCAGCCTTCGACTTCGGGCTTCTAATAGAGTCTCGTTCGATATTCCTTATTCCCGAGAACTTAATATACAATGTATGTACTATTAGTTGTACCTATAGGTTGTAAACATAATTTGCAAAGACAACAAATTCAGCACATTATAGTATTCTTGTGCTATATTGAAATAACCTTTGTTAAATACAGTACTTACCTGTTTATATTTTTATACCAGTGTCGCGGATTAGTGTCTCAAATCAGAGAATTCAGAATTTGGGGCACTCTTGTTCAAACAACCTCAAAATCACAACAGTAAACACGTCTATTGTTAGATGTAATTTTTTAAACACCGAGCGAACGCTTCAATTTTATGATAAATGGCGTATGCGATGACCCGCGCTATGCAACGCGAGCGCACCGCGAGAGTATGCGAATGTGTGCGTTTACACACGGCGCGCGTCAGGTGTGCACACATACAAACCGCGCTGCAACGTTTGTATAGAGTAGGGCTTGCAGAACCGGTCCGGTTCTTAGAATCTTTCTTACCGGTGCTGGACTCAGCTCAGTACCGGTACTCCCGGCATTCCCGGTACTTCATTAAACTGTAACCAGTAAGTATGCTTTTTCCGGGCTATCCGTACCTATTCAAACTAAAGGTTTTTATTCAAAATTTGTATTTGAGAGATAATTACTATTAAATGTAACATAAAATTATATTGTAAAATCACATTGTAGTCAAGTAATAAGTTTAAGTAGCATTATAATGGCAGTAACGTGCGCCCGTGCAAAGTTTTCAACGGGCTATATTACTCACACCTCAGTAGGTAGGTAGATCCTTGCTACAACCGGGAGTACAGGGAATGCTTATAGATTATCGCGGTACCGGGACTGATTGTACCTCGCCAGTGCCGGGATTTCCCAGTAATTCCGATACCGAGAATTCCCAGGAGCAAGCCCGGGTATAAAGACGTCCAATGTGAACGTCGGCAGATCCATTGAATTCATGGCCAAAAATGCAGCCAAAGAGCTTGACATCCTTGCCAAGGTGTGGTGTTACTTCACATCGGAACAGTTGCTACAGTTGTAATGATGCTTGGGTACAAGCCTGGTCGTCTATGGAGTACTGCTGCCGCTTATGGGATGGCTCTGCTAAATACCAACTGGCCACCTTGGATTCAATAGACAAGTGTGCTAAGAGGCTTATAGGTGACTCGGAAGCTGCACAGCCTGTTGAACACCGCCGTAGAGTTGCCAGCATATCGGTATTCTACAGGATATATGTTGGGTGTGCGATGGAATAGCATAATTTGATTCCGCCTTCCCCTTTCCATCATCGGGGAACTAGACGTGGGCTGAGGTTCCACCCCTATGTTGTGGATATTCCCCGGATTCGCACGAAGCGTTTCGCTAGGGAGTGGAATTCCCTGCCTGCAAACTTGTCCCCGAACGCTTTAACTTAGATCTTTTCAAAGCAAGAGTGAATAGGCATTATTTAGGTGTGCATGCTACATACTCGACCTCATCGTCACTTTCCATCAGGTGAGATGAAGGTCAAATGCGCATTTATATTTTTATTAAAAAAAGTTACTTTAGTTTTTTTTTAATATGCGATCTGTTTGTTTCTGGCTCATTAATCACCAATTCTTCAATATAAGGTTCTAGTTATGGAAATGTTCGTTTATAAATTTCTTTCTGTGGCAATCAAAGAATGTTATTTCAGGGAAAATGGGCAGCTGTTTTACATAAAACGTAAAAAAGGTTCACTTTCATTACAAAATCCTTTGAGGCAAATAAATAGTAGCACAAATCAGTTAAACGAATTTAGAATTAAAATCAAATTACTGGAAATCGTATTTTTTTTAAATGTCATTCCTTCGTACGTACAATTAGAATCAATTACATTTTCTTTTGCGTATACTAAACGATGGTGCCAATTATAATTTTTCAATGGATAATTGAACTGACATACTTATTGTAGTTTCTTATTTTTTGCTTACAAATAAAACTTCCACTTTTAATCCCGTGTTGGCCTTGACTAAAAAGCAACGCCCCCTAAGGCTAAACTTTGGCATATCAAAAGGGTTAACACGATAGGGCGCGACATAAAACGTGATATACTCCCGTAGACAAAATAGCTACATCTCGCGCTTCTATATCGCTCTCGCCGAAGTCGCACTCTATCGTGCTAGCCCTACTAAGCTGAGTCAGCTGCCT